AATAGTCAAGTCAAAGATTAAATAGCTATGCAAATCATTAAATAGCTAAACCCCTCTGCAGAATAGAAGCCCACCCTATAATAGAAGCCCATCCGGAATAGAAGCCCAGTCCCAAAGTTATAATTTTTCGGACGTAATAGAAGCCCACTCGAAATGTGTATATATAGAGAAATCAAGAAGACAAACATTCTATTGATAATTTTCAATTTTTTTAAATTAAATGCTCATGTCGTCAATCTATTTCTTTCGTTTTGTATATCTTCTTCTTTGACTATTGAACTTCGTTCGTCAATTGTGACCGTCGACAATTTTGTATAGAAAAAATAATTCTTTTTATTGTGTTCTAATTTTCGATATAAAAACAATCATATATATACATTTTAATACTTTTATTGCAACATTAATTCTCTATCGATTCGTAACAGTAATTCATTTTCATTCAAGTTGTGAATAAAAACTTATTTGGAATGGAAGAAACTCACTTATTACCATTACATTCTTTAACTCAAGAAATTGATATCGAGTCTGACTCTTCAATTAGTTCAGACGACGAAGTAATTGAAAATGTTATTCAAATGCTTGATAATGTAATAGATTTAACGGATATTACCAACGAATTACAAGACAATGAAGAAGATGATGATCAACAACAAGCTGAAATTGACATTCCAATATCTTCCATGAGTGATACAACAACTAATCTGATTCAACCAACAAAATCTCATTACAGCAACGACAAATTCATCGAAAATTCTTCTTCAAAACGTCGATCTTGGACTGTTCAAGAAAAACTAAATGTTATCAATGCATTTAAAAAATGCAAAAATATTTCTGAAGTTAGTCGACAACATCATTGTGATCGAAAACAGATTCGGGAATGGTTAAAAAAAGAACAACAATTGTTACTCATCAAGGGTCAAAAAAATGAAAAAAAGTTGATCGTAATTGAAGCCCACCTTCAAACTTATAATTTTCAAAACAAATTAGAAGCCCAGTGGGCTTCTATTCTGCAGAGGGGTTTATAGCAACTTTAAATAGCTACAAGATCTTTAGATAGCTATGATAGCATTAAATAGCCATGTAAATGATTAAATAGTTGTGCAAGTCATTAGATAGCTAAAGCAATTTTAAATAGCTATAGGATCTTTAAATAGCTGTGATAAGATTAAATAGCCATGTGAAAGATTAAATAGCCATAGCAACTTTAAATAGCTAGAAGATCTCTAGATAGCTATGATAAGTTTAAATAGCCATGTAAAAGACTAAATAGCTATACAAATGATTGAATAGTTATGGAAACCTTTAAATAGCTATGGCACGTTTAAATAGCTACAAGATCTTTAGGTCACTATGACAGTATTAAATAGCTATGACAATGATTAGTAGTTAGACTAGGAAATCATTGAACAAGTTTGTCTTCGAAGTCATTTGATGCTAATTATACACAAAAAGAAATTGTATCTCTTTTGAGAATGAGCCGTTCATCTTACTTTTTTTTCAATGGTATTGTTTTCAACTTTAGGGTGCACGGAGGTACTGGAAAATCACATACAACTGTTCTGTTAACAATTAGTGCCGATGGCACATGTCTTCCTCCATACATAATTTACAAGTCATTACGATTGTACGATCAATGGTGCCCTAAAAATATAATACGTGGTGCGGTTTTCAATGGAACCGAGTCCGGATGGGTTGACGAAAATTGTTTCTTTGACTATTTTTCGAAAATATTCATTCCACAATCATGTCATCTTCCTCGTCCATTACTTTTAATTCTTGATAATCATTCGACACATTTATCAGTGAAAACAGCCAAATTAGCCATTCAGCAGTTTTACGGTGCCATATGCAATTGCTCCACTCTTTCTGCTTATATTCGCAATTACCCGAAGTGGGGTAATTGCAAAAATTTTTAATATTTTTTCAATTTACTATCTAAATTACTGTTTCAGCTACCTGATTATTTTTTAAGATACGATTCTTACCGATCGTAAAGAATCACTAGGTCTATCTACAAGGTGGAAAATGCAGGCACCCAGCACCCAGCACCTGCTCAGCACCTACAGCACGTATACCGCATTCCACAGTGAGCATCTACGGTACCTACGGCACCTTCAGCATCTCCAACAACTATTCTATTGTCTTAAGTACTTAAGATAATGAAACAATGGTTGCAGGTGCTGAAGGTGCTGAAGGTGCCGTAGGTGCTCATAGTGAAATGCGGTATAGGTGCCGAACAGGTGCTGTAGGTGCTGGCAGGTGCTAATAGGTGCTGAGCAGGTGCTGGGTGCTAGGCGTCTGCACTTACCCCCTTGTCTATCTAACTGTGTAAAAAATAATCATCAATTTTATAAGAATGATCAGAAAACCGATTTCCAGTGATCTCATGTAAGATGGCTGGAAATATGCAATTACCTCACGTTATACAGCCATTATTTGCAATTACCCCAGATGGGGTAATTGCAAACAGCTTGTAGGTGCTACTAGAAAAAAAGCGATTGAACAACTTCTAGCAATAGATTCTTAATAATTTTTACATGAATTTCTAGAGATGACATTCCTCTATACAACTAAAAAAAAACTAGAAAAAAATTCCAAAAAATGACTGAGTTATGACAAATAGAAGTGAAAAGAGCGATTTTTCGTTTGCAATTACCCCACTCTACTCTACTTCGTTGTTTGTTGGACTATTTACTGTTGTCGACTTTGTCTTCTTTGGATTTCTTTCTGATATAGATAATTGACTAAAAGATCTACTGACTTGTATATCACCTTGATTGGTTACTTGCCGTTTACGTTTATTTTCTAAATTGGGTCTATGTTGATTGTTCTGTGTCTCTTGCTAAATAGAATAGAAATATTTATGTAGAGCGATAGATTCATTCTAGTTTCAAAAAAGAATACAGTTAACATACTTGAATCTGTTGTTGTTGTTGTTCATCTTCTTGTGGATCATCGTCAGTATCATCTATCACAGTTAAAACACGTTGACCCATATGCTGATCAGTAATATTATACTGTTTTTGTTGTTGAAGGCGTAGTCTTCGCCGTTGATGTTGTTGTTTTCGATTGCCACGGCGTTTTTTCTTCTTTTGTTGCTTCTTATTATTATTCAAGTTCTTTTCTTGTTCAGTAAAAGCTTGTACCGATGAACCTAATTCATATCGATGACCTTGAGCATCTTTGGACAAATCTTTTGGATCAACGTTGTTACAAGTATCTTTCCTTAGTGCCATTCAGTTTTTATGTAGACAGAAATTAATAGAGTTAGATCTAGAAAAGAAAGCAGAAAAACTACTTCAAGCTCCTATTCTTTCAAAGCATATCATAGTTTTACATCAACTTATGAAAAATAATAAAAAAGAAAACAAAAATGCAACAGCAACAATTTATTGGAACACAGAATATTAGCTCGATTATATACCATTCAAGTTTAATAACCGTATCTACTTTCCGTGATATTGCTGAGAGAGATGACAAAAATTGATTCTTGTTTAATGCTGGTATCGAGGTCTGAAGAGAAACACATATCAATCGTAGCACATAATCTATTCCTTTTCGAATGTTTCACTTTCCGATTAACTTTTGTACGACTTTGTGAATGTTACAGGGAAGAATATGTTTAATATACAGTAAAATCTCTATAAAATGAACACCATTGGGACTCCCGAAAAAATATTCATTATGAGAGGTGTTCACCTTACAGACGTTTTGCATAGATTGAACTGTTGCATGCATACGATGGTTAGTGAGTTATTTTGATGACTACACGATTCATGTGAAGTTCACTGTAGATGAAACAAAAAACGAAACCAAATTTTTTATCTAGTGCATGACTTTTCTGCAATGTTTATTGAAAATAATTCTCCATCATCGTCTATTTGGGATCTTGCGTGTCGATGTAGAGTTGAGTGCATTAGAAGTCCAGCTGCGCAGTTTCTTCTGAAAGGGTCAATGTACACTGTGTCATCATTTCTTTATTGCAAATAAACAAATATGCTGTTGCTTTACGGTCGAACGCTCAATTTATCTTAGAACGGTGTATCACGGACTGTTGACTTTTTTGTTCTATTTTCTCCGATGAATAGACCGCAGACGAATTGATCAAGCATTCCTTTAGAATGAGCATTGTGTTTTTTCCTCTTTCCCTACTCATATATGCATACATTCTTGAATGCATGTTCATTATATACAGGTTTTCTTTGCTGAAGGGACCAAAAAAGTGTTCATTGTTCAGAGTTAAGAGGTGTTCATTATATAGAGGTGTTCATTACGGGAGGTTTTACTGTATTTACCTTGTGACAAACACAGAACTACTTGTCTGAAAAAATAAAGCACGAATAAATGAAAGAAGTTCGGTACAGCCAATGTTCCTAATAAGAACAGATTTTTATACATCTAAAA